AGTTTATTCGATTATGACAATCATTTTTTGAATTTAAAACTTCTAAGAATAAACACGACAAACATTTTAAAGCCATAATATTGTAAAACAATATTAATTTGTTCCAAACATTTCCCTTTCAGTCTAAATAAATGACTCGGCAGTAAAAAAAAAAAAAAAAAAACAGATAAAAATAAAAGTTACGAAAAACAGACTGCATAGTTTTTAACAGTGAACAATGTATACAAAAATTGAATTTATTAATACCTTCGTTCTTAACATGAAAAACAAAACAAACAAATATTTACTGGCCAAGATAAAATACATATAAAATAATTGTAGAAAATAAATTCCTTATTGTAATTACATGATTTGGGGTATGACGATACCACGTCAGTAAACCTCTAATTCATAATGAATAAACACTGATTTTTTGAAGTAGTTTTCCTGTCATAATGCCGTCAGTAAAAAAGTTAAAATATTTATGTCATTCCGATCATATATAATGCTATTTTGTCTTATACCCATATGAAAGTTCACATTTTGTTTTTAAGCAAATCATAATTTGGTTAAAAACTTCTTAAATGCTGTAAACACAAGTTAATCTACACCTAATGTTTTTTTAATCGTTAGAAAGGCCTCGTGAAATCCCATGTACGGTCCTCACGTGGAGATTGCGACTATCCAACCAAAGGAAGGCTTTGTTACAAATATCGCAATAGTACTTCTTTCTCTGAAGTCGGTGAATGTTCATGTGTCGCACCAAGCTGCTCTTCTGGGCATAGTCCATCCCACAAATAGGGCAAACCAGATCTCTCCGGAATATAGTTTCTTGTCGTTTTCGTGGTCGTCCCAATCTTGATCGGAACTTATGTCCTGGAGGACAGAAAATGTCAACACACAAAAACATGAGACGTTTCATCAGCAACACTTAAAAAACAAGCAAACAATAACATTTAAAACACTACCATAGGAAATGTTTTATTACAGAAACAACAATCAAATATAAAATAAACTTCAATAAAGGTGTGGTTGATCAAACTTTCTAAATACAAGTATTGGAGGAAGAATTAGGATGTATTTTATTCTTCTGATAACATCAAATATCTACACGTGTATAAATCTTACATACTTATTTGTCTGACATTTGTAACAAAAAATTATCGATTGTTTGTTTGTTTTTGAATTTCACGCAAAGCTACACGTCCCTAATTTAGCAATGTAAGACTAAGGGAAGGCAGCTAGTCATCACCACCCACCGCCAACTCTTGGGCTACTCTTTTACCAACGAATGGTGGGATTGACCGTCACTATATAACGCCCCCACGGCGAGCATGTTTGGTGTGATGGGGATTCGAACCTGCGACCCACAGATTGCGAGTCGAGTGCCCTAACCACCTGGCCGTGCCGGGCCAAAAGTCATCAACATTTGTCATGATTCAAGTCGGAAAATATAAGGTCAAATGGAAGAAATGAGGTAAATAATTCATACATATTAAAATTCACTATTTGGGATGATACTTGTGTAATTCCAAATCACTCACTTCACCTAAATGATAGAAATTGAAATATTTTGCATCAGTATGTAGATTCAAATAGTTCCTCATACATACATACATACATACATACATACAGAGGTTAACTAAAATTCCTATAAACCTATAACAGCATACAACTATGGCTTACTTTTACATGCTCTTACAAATGTGAAAATTTACACACAGTCATCAACTGACCATAGAAAAATTTACACACAGTCATCAACTGATCATAGAAAATTTTTTATAGAGTCATAAACTGACCCCAGAAAACTTACACAAGTAATGATCTGACCCCAGAAAACTTACATAGTGTTATGAACTGACCATACAACACTTACAGGGTCATGAATTGACCATAGCCATATATACATCATTCAGGTACAAATGAACCACATTTCCAATCTTGGTTAAACATCTTCTTCTTTGTTTGAGGTATTCAATGAAATGAGTCTACCTCACCAGGATGTACCAGTGGCCATGACACCAGTATACATCTCAGAAATCCAATTAACTTAGATTTCTGCCACCACCACTATAAATTATTTTATGTACTTCTCGTTCTTCACATTATACATATATAACCAACTACTGTAAAGTGGGCACCAACCATTCTTCTGTATCTTTAAGTACTGGACACGTGCTCAAAATGCTTTTTTGCTCCTATTAATATAATTTTATGATCAGAACTCCTTGACTTTGGTTTATTAAAATATTACACACTAATCATTCAAACCTTTCCTGAAATTGCACACACAGTTCTACATGCAGTAAATAAAACTTTTACTTATACAGTATAACATGTTTACACTTTTACTTCCAACACAGGTAAAACAAAAGGTTCATGGCTAAAAATGTCTCAAACAACATGATTAAACACTTTTGTGACACTTCAAAAATGCTTATTTAAAATTTTATTCCCAATCATAACAATTTTAAATGTACTGAAATTTTTATTTTTACTAACGTTGATTAACATTTTTTTCTGCACCATAAAATTAACTGATTAAGAATTCCTCCTCAAAGTTTTACACTTAAATACATTGTATTATCATATACAACTTTATGCTTTTCGAAAGTAATCATGAACATTTTACATTACTAGTTTGATACTGTTTGTACCAATGGCACATAACTTTTAATATTTCTCTGTATGTTCAACTATTACCACAAAATTTAAAACAAGTTTAATACAGGAAATATTAACACACAAGATGGCCAGCCTTTTTTTTTTAAAGTAAAATTATGAATGAATTCGTTTTCACACACACTGTGAAAAAACTAACTACTCTAATTTTGTATCAAATTATGTTCCCAATCTTACATCATTGGCTAATGTTACAAATTGAAAAAAACTGTGAAATGTATTTTAAAATTGTTATGACCTTGTGCTTATATTTTAACTAGAAGGTTGGAGAACTTGTGGCTTAACTAACATAGATTATACTGAAGGTCAACCATGCTCATTCTGATAGCAACGATAATACATTATTGTCTGGCACCAACCCTTGTAATTAGTTTCAGTGAAGACAATCTTAGCCAACAGACTCTCAAGCATATGTGGACATCACCTTTCAAGCCAATGTTCAACTAGATCAAAGGCAGAGTAGTCAATAACAGCTGCATTAGAGAAGCAGACAGGTATGTGGTCAAATGGAATTGCTGCAATTTTGGTTTCTTGTGTAATTTGTTTCTTTTGAAAACAGCTGTTGATTTTGAGATGAGGTTGGAAACTCCTTAGCTTTCAACTTCAGAGGCATTTTCAAAATCCAAAATTTTATTATCTTGTTAATAGTATTAAGAGATCTAATCAATGGCTTCTTGGACCAGAAGGTTTCTTTTCATTAACCACAACCTTCACTTTGTGTAGAAGGAACTTTGCACCAGATATGATCTGGGTTTGGTTTTGGTGCCCATTACTGCAATAGTCTGCTGGTTAAGTATTTCTTCCAACTTCCACCGAGAACAGTGAGACCCCTTCTACAAAATTGTGTGTCTTTTGGCCCTACACTATTTAACAATATTATTGTATGATTCTTAGGCCTCACATTAATAATATAGTTGTATGAATCTTAGACCTCACATTGTTTGATGATATTTTTCTATGATTCTTTGGCTTCACATGGTTTAACAATATTGTTATGTCATTCTCAGACCTCACATTGTTTAACAATACTGTTGTATGATTCTTAGGCCACACATTGTTTAACAATATCATTGCATGATTCTTTGGCTTCACATTGTTTAACAATACTGTTGTATGATTTTTTCTCCTTGAAGAGCACTCATATATCTCATCAGTGTTAAGCCTATCCTAACAACATTGCATCCATGAATCAAATATGATGTGCCTAACATGTCACTCTCAATATCACATTTTACATCTGTCATGACATACCATTGCAACTTCATTCTCAGTACCACATTTTATATTTGTAGTGTATTTAGATATATGGGCCTGAGAACTTGTAGCTGAGAGTACACAGAAATATGGACCTGAGAACCAAGTTCTCAGTTCCATATTTCTGTGTAATCTCAGCCACAATGGCTGACTTTACATAGATATATGGACCTGAGAATTGGTGGCTGAGTTTTTGTAGAACTTTTTTTTGAGCTCTAAGTATATAGTTTGTACAGATACACAATGTGAAAACTTACTTGTACATGAATTGAAACACAGTCATCACTAGACAAGGTGACCAGAAAGGGTGTGCTTAGCACATGCACAAAAACTAGCTGTCCTAAACAGCAGGTGTGAAAAGTGGCTGAAAAAAGTGAAAGATTTAGTAGAAACGTGTTCAAAGACACTTCAGAAAATTCATTAGGAGCTTAAATGTGTCAGTCTCCTCATGAAAACTTAAGTTACACAAGACAAAATACAGAAATGTATTGTGATGATTTTATTGTTGACTTTTGTTTATTCTCATTATTCCACAAACTCAACAAAACTGAGACAGATACAAATCATTAAGAAAACACACATAATACTGAAGCACATTCAAGTCACAAGCCAGGAAATGTGGACTTTACACTTGGGACATTATATTTTGGATTTGAAGCTTATATCTGAGAAGAAGCTGATTTCTTTATCATGCTCTGAAACCAGTTAAAGTTGTTGTTGTTGGTGTTTTAGTGTAAAGCTACGCAATGTGCTATCTGCACTCTGTCCACCATGGGGAATCAAACCTATCAGGATCCTGAAACCAGTTGAAAGCAACCACTTTGTATAACATGAAAATATTATTACTGCATGTTGCCTGTTATTCATATCATTAAATATCAATGTGCAGTAGCCCAGGAAAAAATGCTTAATAAAAAACTGTATGACATGCGCTTGATGGAGAGCTTCAATGTTTTATTTTATCCTATATTTTGAATATTTCTAATTAACTTTTATCCCAAGAAAATTTTGCAAGAGGTACACATTCTGTAAACATTTTAAATAGAGACAAATACACAAAAATGACTAAACAGTGACTGCAGTAAAGTGACACATTAGTTTAATAATACAAATATCAATTTGAGGGAGATACATAATAAATAAAATGACACCAACACATTATACAACAGGACATACATCATCTATTTGGCAAAGTTGAAATTACCTTTTTATTACCTGCAAGGTGAACAACACTGAACCCAGGGTTCATTCACATTAATGACTGTGAAATTCCAAGACATTGTCGTTTTTTAAGACTTTTATTTTAGTCTCAAACTTATTTTATAATTTGATGAGTTGCCTACCAATATTCATAATAATACTGTAGGTATTTTGGAACTAAGCAATACAGGCAATAAATGTATTGTATTGTAAACTATATCTGGTAAGCCACAGCTATTCATTATACAGTGCCTTTGGTGTATTCATAGTGTAAAAAGTAGATAAATCTCAGAAGAGAAAATTTTAAACAATTACATCATGAAAAAAACGAAAAATAACTTTGCTCATCCATACATAATTAACTTTAACAGAATACAAACTAATAGTGTTCCAACTTTATATTTTATTGTGTTCATAAACTTCAAAATAAAAACAGTAAACACTTTTTCTGGGAGAGGATACAACAGTTTATATATATATATATATGTGTGTGGCAGAAACATAATGCTGGTGAAATATAAATGACAGTTTAAAAATAAATACTGTATGAAAACAGGTGAAAAGAAACTATTTCCCTAGTATTAGTAAATCATTAACCTAATAACCAATAGTGGAAAGGTAGGTTTTGCTTTTATAATGAAAATACTATGTTAGAACCGTAATCTCATCAGTAGGAGACTGGATACCTCAGGAGCTATCTCACCCCCCCCACCCACCACCACCACTGATCTTCACGTCCTAATTGGTTTAGTGTACTAATGTTTGTGTGTAATAACAAACACTGTAATAAACAAATGTTTATTGCACACTGAAGTTAAGTTGTTTAAAACAGCTCCCCCCCCCTCATGAGTTGTTAATCAATATTTTACATGAATAAAACTAGAAGACAAGTTTAGTTTCTATATTCATTACAATATTTTACGTATTTTTACCAGGTTGTCTTATGACTTGAAAGTAACCAAGAATGAGTGAACATTTTTTAAATAACATCAGGTATTTATGCTTCTGTTAATGTAGTTTTATATGAACTCTTTCACTAAAGAACTAAATAATTATGCTTAAAATACCGCATAATCATGTTAATTATACTTTTAAAATACAAACCTAATGGCAAAAACTCCTGAAAAATAGAACTATGATGTAACAGTCTAGAATTTGTATGATTTCATGAATCATTCCTGTTATTATCTTGTAAAATGCCAACTGGTATCATACTTTAATGTCCTGGCCATAAACACTGCAATACAACCAAAATACTGGTCATAATCAGGATACTATAGCCAAAATACTAACCTTTATAATCAAGACATAAGATGGTGAACTTAGGTTGTATAAACCTAATCAAGTTCTTATTCAAGTGTTACATCAGAATATTATTATTCAAGTGTTACATTACAATATTATTATTCAAGTGTTACATTAGAATATTATTATTAAAGTGTTACATCAGAATATTATCATTCAAGTGTTACATCAGAATATTAGTATTACATCAGAATATTATTATTAAAGTGTTACATCAGAACATAATGACATTTGCAAAATGAATATCCAGAGCTTAAATATATACCCATATATATGTGTACACTCACACAAACACAATAACCACCCATAAGGCCATGAACAATGTTACCACAAAGATAAAACCATACCTTGTGTGATAGGAGAACTCAAAAAGATTTCAGTAACTTACTTCCTTAAATTAAAAATTCACACGTCTTCATAAACAGTTCCATTACTAAACTACTGGCAATCAAGAGTCACTAAAAAAATCTGGGGATGCTACCGAGTACAGGTGAGAATATTCTGAAGATTCAGATGAAGATTTTGCTGACTGGGACTGGCCTGAAAATGCGGGAGATACAGCAGTTCCCCCTGGTGGACGTAGCACAGGAGAATAAGCTGATGACAAAGATAAGCTAGGGATGGTGGGAGACATGCTAGGACAAGGACCAGAGCATATATCAGTGGGTTGAGGGAACTGAGAAAGACTGGAATATCCCAATGCACATGTTAAATCAGTGGAAGAATGACTCTTTGCAAGGGTTGAGGACACAGGGATCTTAACGTGCTGGATAAGTGAATGTCCAAAGTTATTACAAGGTTGAGAAGCACTTGATATTGGTAATGGTGATGTATTAGTTCTAGCACAGGGTTGACTAAGTTTGGCACAGTTACCTAGAAGCTCAGAACTTTGTGACATGTGTCCAGAAACAGGGGGAAGACGAGGAGTGAAAGTTTGAGTTCTATGAGGTGCTAAAGGATTACCGATGTGGGAAATGGAACGGACAGGTGGGTTAGACACTGGTGAAGCTGGTGCACTACTGGTGGAAGGGAATGAAGGCCTTAATGGAGGAGTGTGATGAACCATTTTTTTATGCGAATACACATTTGTTCTCCAAAAAAATCCTTTGTTACAGATATCGCAATAATACATTTGGCGTTGAGGTCGATGGATGTTCATGTGGTTTTCCAAGATGCTTTTGTTTGTATAATTCATCTTGCAAACAGGGCACTGATTTTTCTGACAAGATAAATATCCAGTGCGAGGTGGTCGTCCTCTTCTTCTTGTACCAGCCAAAACTTAAAAAAGAAGAGAGACAGAATCCTGTCAATTCAAAAAGTTTTAAATCCACAACTGTCACTGCCCAAATTTGCAAGAAATATTTATATCATTAGACCAATATATGATCAGTCAAATAAAGAACACTTTGAAAAAGACATTGTTATTGAAACCACTTTCCTAAGTTCACTGCTAATTTTAAACTCAAGAATCAGAATAATCAACAGGGTTACTTAAAGAGTTCCGATTGGATAAAAATCTTGAAATAACAACACCACTTCAAACAAAACTATGTTGATCTCTTATAACCACTTAAAATAACTTCTTACCTCTTTGTGGTGAAACAACATGCAAATTTCTATAAACTATATAAAAGTTACAATTCAACCAGTTTCAAGGTTTCAATGCAACAAACACACTATTAATACGCCACACTGTATTGAGTTGTTTTGTCTTTAAAAGATGTCCAAAACAATCGATAAGTTTAACATACAAGTTAACAGTAAAAAACATATAATTCTTTTTAAGGAAAATGCAGTTGTTTTTGTTTAATAAGTTAAACAAATACTAGAAGACAGATTCTTAGAAAGGTCTTGTTCATTTTTCGTAGTTATTTATGCCGGTTATGTATATCTGTTATGGGTGATTTTTGATGGAGTTGGAAGATGGTGGTGCCACCTGTACATTGCACAGCATATTGGGCAGCTGTGGCAATCTTGAGTAGGGTTAAACAGTGCCATGAGCCCTAGTTTTGTTGTTAGTGTTTTCTAGCAGGTAGGACAAAGTAATCCTTCTGCCAGGAGACTTCTTTTAAGACTTCCTCCTACAAAAAAAGAAGTTATAGTAACTTTTTGTTAGAGATGATGATGGATAAGCTGATAAACCAAGTGCATGTACTTTGATAAAGACTTTGGTCTCTACGGAACTGTATATTGAAGTTCACTATTAATACATCTGCAACATTTATGTGCTATCTTAGTTTGGGAACACTAAAACATACTGACCATTAAGTGTTCCCCAGAGCTTCACAACTACTATTAGAAAACAATAACATAAAAATAATGACACAATTGATACATATCTTAGTTTTGTAATCAATCTTATTACTGCTAACATTCATTTCAAGGTCTGAGTTTTCATGCTGGGAAAAGAACAAAATAATCATTATAAATCCTTCCATATTCTGACTCAAAAGCTTTAGTAAAAATAGATAATAGGTTGAACAATCGCCAAGTATTTATATATTTTTATTTAAAGAAGGATGACGTTTCGAGCTAGCGCTCTTCATCAGATCATACAGTTTACAGTTTTTAAATAAAAATATATAAAAACTTGGTGATTGTTCAACCTATTATTTAATTTCGATATTTTTCGTCGCCTATGTGGTTTTAACTATATTTGTCTTTTCCAAAAGCTTTAGTACTCAAGAATAATAACTCCATATACTTACCTGCAACATTTTACATCTCTGAACTACCACTCTCTTTTCATCAAGCATTTAGATTAGTACACAAAAAATATACTTAACGGGAAAGCACTCACCAGATTCAGATAGTTACAGTGGGAAAGAAAGCATCAGTTCATACTAAAACAAATATAAAAATCTGTCATGATTCACGTTATGAATTCTGACGCTGGAGCTTTAAAAGCTCCGCTTCTAACTAGAATGGGAGAGAAAATCCTAGAATTCTGGGCAGTTATTTTGTTTTTGTGTGATTCTAAATAATTTTTGTTTAGTAACGATTTTAATCTAGGGTCAGGTTTTTTGAGAGAATTTGATGTTGACAGGAATTTTGTTTAATGGCAAGTTTTGTCCAGGAAGAAAATTAGAAACCAGATTCACAGAACACAATAAAAAAACTAGTCCCATGTTTTCCACCATTGCAACTC